ACATATATTGCATTATTTGTTTCAGAGGTACAGATCTGAGATTCAACAGTCTTGCACAATTCACAGCGCTTACCAGAGCACATACCCTCCCATGGCCTGGGTAGTTTTGAGGAGGACTGGGCAGGTATTTGTAGAATGCCTCCCTGTTTGGGTCGGCCTGAGGGCTTTCTGCTGCTTAGCCCGGGGTTACCGACCTTTGGAAAGCATAGTGCTGACGGAGGTGGGACGCCTGTCTCATAGCTCCATTTCAGGGGCATGTGACATCCACAGGCCTCCCTGGCAATGTCCACCTTGATCACCTGGTTAAGGTGGTATTTGCCAGGTTTGTCCACTGTGAAGTTAGTGTCTCTCCTTTCCATGCTGTGCTCTTTCAGAGAGAGTCACTGTGTTGAGCTGGGCTGCATATATTAATATCTGATCATCGATATTTAAAAATCATGGGACTTTTTCAGGATACCCATCTGGCATTCTGTGTGGTAGCAATGGGCTGGCGAGGGGTAGCCACCGCCCCTTACGCAGGGACCCAGCTGTCCGTCACCTACAGGCTCGCTCAGCCCTATTCCTTCCTCTCAGCTACCTGCCTGGCCCCTGAAGGCACCTGAGTTTGAGACCCCTGCCCCAAGGCACCTTCCTGTAGCAGATCTGCATCCCACCTGATCAGATAGAACTTTCCATTGACATAAGGGCTTTTAGTCCCAACATCATGAACCTTAGATTTGATCATAAATTTATACTTAAAAATAATGGTTATGCCCTTTTGGGGTCACAGGAAGAGAAATAGTTGAATAAGTTATGTTTGATAGCTATCATCATACAACTCTGGAGGGCTGGCATGAAAAACAGTTGCTTCCAGAGTAAAGGTCTCCTTCTCTGTCCCCAGGGTCCTTTAACCATGGGATTTCCCTGGAAATTTCCAAAGTTCAGGGGCAAAGAGCATATTATAGAGAAAACTCAGCCCCAGCACTGAGATGATTCTCCTTGAAAAAGCACTTGCTTCTCAGCTCTCTCCTTTACGATGAGAGAGAGTTTTGTGGGAAGCAGGAAACCTGCAGGCCCTGGAGAAGATTATTGTTAGCAGAGCTGTGAGGTGGGAGATGCTTCGTGCTGCATCTGTGAGTGCACAGCTTGGGGAAGGGCACTTTGGGGTGTCAATTATCTGAGCCAGATGGATTGAAGACCCCATAAACTCTTGCCCCCCACACCGTGGAGTGGAGCGGGCATGAAGGCGAGCCTGTTCTGGCCCGCGCGTGAATGTGGCCACTCGTCATGCGGGCTGATGTGCTCTTAGCAAGAGCACTGGTTGAACCAACTAATTGAACCTTCCTTGTTTTCTAGGGGGGGCTGTCGGGGGTCTACTAGGTGCATGGATGACAAGCGGACAATTTAAGCCGATTCCTCAGATCATAATGGAGCTGCCGCCCGCTGAGCAGCAAAAGCTCTTTAATGAAGCCACCGCCATCCTCAGGCACCTGGACTGGACGGACGCCGTGCAGCTGACCACGCTGGTCATGGGCAGCGAGGCCCTGAAGCAGCAGCTGCTGGCCATGCTGGTGAACTACGTCACCAAGGAGCTCCGGGCCGAAGTTCAGTATGATGACTAGGTCGCTTCTCCTGGGAAGTGCGGGTCTCATTTAGATGATTCTCGGGACTCACAGGAGGGGACAGGGGAGTTGGGGAAGCCGCACATCATCAGTGTGTTACCTTAAATGGAGTGAAATCTGCTGGAGAGGCTACTACTATGCTGTATCATGTTCTGGAAATTATTTATGAAGACGCTGTGTTTTGTGACAACCCTTTCACTGGGAGGCTGGTAGACAGCGAAACCCTGCCTGCCCCAGACATGGGTGACAGCTTCCTGAATCCACTGTCACTCATATGGGAGCGTAGCAGGAGGCCCTCGTGTTCCGTCTCCTCGCCTGTGAAGATGAGCCCTGTCCGAAGCACCCGTTACAGGACTGGTTCCTTCCCTGGGGCCCAGGGTCTCAGGACCTGAGAGCTGGCCTATGCTGGAATTCACGTTTCCCTCCTGTGCCCCTTCCCTGACCAGTGACTCTGAGTGGCCCCACGCAGGGTCAGTCGCCTGTTGAGCGAAGCCACAAACATCCAGGCCCCCAGCCCTTCTCTACGTAGCACACCTGGGCTCTCACCCTCCCAGGGGCTTCCTCTCCCCATTGGACAAGTTGTGGTACTTCTTGAGTTTTGCTTTTAAAATTAAATACTTCCAGCCAAGAGTATTGCTTTTTCTGACATGGTAGGATCTAAGCAATGTGTCCACCCTGAATTTCCCCTAATACCATATTCACTTTGCTCTCAGAACCGTTACTTGACTAGGTGTCATCAAATTGCAATAAATGTTTTCTGAATAGGGCTTTTCTCACAGATTTTATGTAAAAGCATCTCTCACACCCAGGGTCGTACATGCAGAGCACAAGGGAACGTTCTGGATTTGTGGCTTTAAAGAATGACAGACGCCTCCCAAGTCCAGTGCCTGAGACCTAACTGTCCGGGTTTTCCTGCTTTGGCTCCTCTGTGCTTCCAGTATGCGCACACTGCCCGAGCCTCCGCAGGCCCCCAGGTCCTGGGCCAGGCAGCAGCTTGGGGCTTTCTCTAACGGGGAAACGGCACAGGCCACCCTGGGGGTATGGAAGGAGGCACTCCTGCGGAGGAGAGTTGGTATTCTGACATCTCTGTGTGTGTAAGGAAAACTTCAGGATGAATTAGAACCCATGCTGATTTAGGCCAGGGGAGGGACTTCAGTGGACATCAGGGCAGGACCTCTGAACTAGGACCCCATGTCCCCTGGGTCTGGGACAGTTGGGCCCAACACACAAGCAATGAATGGGTGAGGCTTCCCCCACCTCCCCAATCACTTTCTTTGAGAACTCACGGACATGGGATCCTAGTTCAGAGGTCCTGCCCTGATGTCCACTGAAGCCCCTCCCCTGGCCTGCCTGCCTTTATTCCTGGGAAAAACCCTGACCCAACTCCTGACCAGTGTCCAGTCAGACGGAGCAGGCCTTGCTGAGTGAAGTCAGCCTGGACTAGCTGGGTTCTGGGGTCACTGTGATGGGCGATGGGCCTGAGAGGGCAGGCCAGACCTCAAGTCCTGTCTCCCCCAGGAGGTGAAAGCACTTTGCTGGCTTTTCCCTCAGGCTCTCCTCTCGGCTCCTGTGATTTTAGGATTCTTATTTCTGTGTCTCCTTGGCAAAAATTTTCATTTATTTATTTTTTAATAGATAATTCCAGCCTGGTACTTAGAAGACTTAGAAGACTCTAGACAGTACAATGGAAAAGCAAGGCTTCCTCCACCATGAACTCCTGCCCCAGGCCCCTCCCCAGAGGCAGCCACTGTACCAATTTCTTGTGCATTCCTTATGTCAGTTTTTAAATAGTCTTTGAAAACCATTCACTTACTTTTATTTGTCAGTGTTTATGGATGAAAGCTTAGAAGAATCCAGCAAAGGATAATGAAATCGCTACAAATTTTGCCACCCAGAAAATCACTCTTAATACATTTGATACATTTCTTGCAAACCTTTTTTAATGCTATGTATGCACATTTCCAAAATATTTCCATTCTTACTGTTTAGACCTCTTTGATGCTTTTACCAATTAACATTAAATAACATTTGTGTTTAATTTAAAATTCCTTGTAAATATGTGTATATATATGTATATATGTGTAAATATGTGTAATCATACTTAGCCTTATCCCTGGTGTGGTTTTCATTGCCCCAGTGAACAGTTTGTGTTAACATTCTGTTCATATTTTAGACTATGACAGTATTTTGGATAGATACCTCAAAGTGAAATTGCTGGATTAAAATGTATGCAATATTTTTTAAGGTTTTATATTCAGTCAAAATTCCTTCTAGACAGTAAGTGTCGATATCACTCTCCCTGCAACAGTGTTTGGGGGTACACATCTCACTGCATCCTCACCAAGAAATAGGATGATAGTGTCTTAAACCTTTGTTGATTTGATGGGTGATTACCGACATCTTGTGTTGATTAGTTTTTCTTTGCTAGTGCGGGTGACAAGGCCGGGTAACCTCCTGGTGGCCATCTTCCCCGGTGGTGTTGAAAGCCCCCCGGACCCCCGTGGCTGATTCCCAGCAGAGGGTGAGGGGGCCCTGGCCTGAGCAGAGGGCTAGCTGTGGGCTGGCCCCCTGTGGCTGGCAGGGCAGTGGCTGGCTGGGCAGTGGCAGCGGGGTGGCCAGGAAACAGCAGGGGGCTGCCAGCAGGGCAAGGGGGCAAGCTGAGGAGGAAGCGTTGGTGGGGAGACCCAATAATTATAAAAAGAAACCATCTGTTCTGGGCCGGTTATTAACCTGCTTTGGGTGTTGACATGACAGCACCAAGCAAGATTTTTCACAGGCAGATGGTGTATTTTTAGCTAGAGTGAACTTTTTTATTTTTCTGTTTTTTTCAGATGTCTGGCTTGGAAGTAAACACGACTGGGGTGTGTTGCAATGCGGGGTTTGTCAGGGCGGGGGCTCCAGGTTTGGAAGGAAGCGATACTCCCCTCATTAGTTATTGAGAGGTGCCATCTAGTGGGCAAGTAGGCGCATCCTCTCTCTTTTTCCTCCCTGCCTTCCTGGGTCACCCGCCAGGCCAGGATGTGGCTCCACCAGAAAGCCCTTTTATGAGTTTCCAGGAGGACAGGGACTGGGATCTTCCTGAGGTTTTAATAAGCCATGAACAGAACATCAGCCATGTCTCCTGCAACCTTTTTTACAGATAAACCAGAATGTGTCTCAATCCTGAACAATCAACATACGGCAATTAAGAAATGCCAGGATTCGTCTACACCACACAGGGAAGGGGGACCGTCTGATGTGTTTTCTGTTTGTTGGAGGAGATAAATGGCTTCTTGGACCACTGTGATAACAGTGGGTCAGGAGGTGAAGCTCGGGCCTGGCCTGCTGACTTGCAGCCTTGGGAGGCTGTGGGTACCCCAAATGCTGACAAGCAGAGGGATCCGAAAAGTGTTTCTCTAAACTATCGAGATGGTGGCTGTTTCTTTAATTTGTGTGAGTTTTAAGGGAAGGACTTTACTCGTTTTCATCTGCAATTGAGCAAATGCCGGGATAATACCCAGGCAGTATCTGTTACCTAACAATTAATTGGTAAAAATAAACAAAAATGCTCAAACCCGTAACCGGTAGGGGCATAGGAAGACAACACACACACGGAGCACGCGCACGCACACACGGAGCACGCGCACGCACACAGTCCCGGAGAACGTACATGGTGATATCGTTTGCTGGGAGGGTGATTTGAAGAAAAAAAAGTCACAGGAACCATAAGATTGTAAATACTTTGCAGCCAGCACTTTTCACTTCAGGGAAGACATTACAATAAAATAATTCAAATGGAAGGAAGATGAGGATACTCCTAGCACTGCTGTTTACGGCAGCAGGAGAGAAGGGAGCCCGCCCAGTGCTGAGCAACAGGGACAGAGTCAGACGGCCTTTGTGGGCAATGTCATAGCCACTTTTGATAAGTAGCCAACAGGGATGGGTGTATGAAATTCAGTAGAACTGCTCCACACACATTATTTACCGTACAGCAACCTCACACGTACGTGCATGCGAGGGGGTATAATAAAGAGAAAGACCAGTTGTAACAGGTGCTGGTGACCTACGGGCTTCCCGGGCAACGAGATCGTGGCTCAGAGGAAGCAGTGCAGGCAGCCGAGAATCTCCAGGTGTGGGCATCTTGTGCCTGCGGCGAGTCCAGTGTTGAAAAATGTGCATTATTTACCTGTGCCTAAACCAAACGAGAACGAGCCTGGGCCCCAGCTCCCTGGGGCTGCCTCCCAGGGACTGTCCAAGGCCGCCTGCGCTGGGCTCCAGGCTGTGTCCTCACGAGGCTGTGTCCTCACGAGCCTGCCCCGGGGCCCCTACCTCCTCTGAGGCATGGCCCCGCTGTAACACGCACTTGGAGGCTCATCTCCAGGTGGCGGCACAGACGTCCACGGACCGCGGCAGGAGGGCCTGCCATGCTGGGGGCTGTTTTGGATGTGGGGTCCTCCCTCTAGCATCTCTCCAACAGAATCCCAACGAGCCACAAATGTCAGCCACATATATAACTTTAGATTTTCTAATAACCACATTTTTCAAAAGAAGAAACAGATGAAATTCATTTAATAATATAATTTAACCCAATATCCCAACATATTATCATTTCAGCATGTAGTTGATATAAATGGTTATTGAGATATTTTCCTTTTTTAAAAATATTAAGTCTTTGAACCTGGTTTTACACTTGCGGCACATCTCCATTCTGACTAGCCACGTGTCAATCCGCATGTGGCCAGTGGCTACCATATCAGACCTCATAACTCTGTAAGATACATGATAAAAAATGTAAAGATGGAAGATTTTTCTTTTCCACGTGGGTTGCCAGTGATGCGGACATGTCCCTGTAAGGGCCCAGAACCACTTTCTGTCCCTTCTCTGTTGTGAAGTTCAGCATCTGGGATTCTTGGAGGTCAAGAGCAGCTTGGATGGTGTTGTGGACTGGATTCTGTGTGCCCCAAACTCATATGCTGAAGCCCTAACCCCCAGTGTGATGGCATTTAGGGGTGGGGCCTTTGGGAGGTGATGAGGTTAGATGAGGCCAAGGTGGGGACCCCCAAGAAGGGATTAATGCCCTTATAAGAAGAAACACCAGAGACCTCGCTCACTATCTCTCTGCCTTGTGAGGACACGTGGGAGGACAGCTCTCTGCAAGCCAGAGCTCCCATCAGAACCCAACACTGCTGGCAACCTCTTCTGGGGCTCCCAGCCTCCAGACTGTGAGCAATAAATGTCCATTGTTAAGTACAAGTCCATTGTTAGTTAAGTACCCAGTCTTTGGTACTTTGTTGTTGGCAGCCCAAGCCCCTGAGACAGATGGGGCATTGGGAGAGTTGAGAACTTACTGGTGACTCCCTCCCCACCCTCTCTAATTAGATTTAGGGGCAATGGCACTGTCTCCCTGTCTTGAGAGGACCAGCTGGCCTCTGCATGGCTAAAGACCTCCTCCTTGGAATGACCCTGACCATCGTCAGGAGAGGGCTGTTTGCCGCAGCCACTAAGAACCGGCCTTGTCCTTCTGCCCCAGCACAGACGGCCCTCAGAGGCCTTGGAGCCCTCCACTCTCCCCTCTGCACCTGTTTCAGTTTGTCATCGCTAAGCTCAGAGGGGGCTGCAATGTTGCTGGCAAGTATCCTGCATTTTCCCAGCCCACTTCCACTCCCGCTAACCTCTTCCTCCAGCTCCCCACCCTCATCCTCTGCTTCTCTGCAGTGCTGACTTGGTGCCTGTGTCACTGGGGAAAGGAGAGAAAGGTCACTGCGGACATCTGTGCCCATCTCTCCTC